TCTGTCAACATACAATCAGCATTTAACGTAGCTACTAATTAATAATTGTTATTAAGAAAATAATGAGCTATTTTTCACTGGAATTAGCAAAGATTAAGAAGATTAATGCTGATTACCCCAGTTTCAGGTAGATTTGTACAACTTTCTGGGAGGTAATTTGGCACTATACCTCAAAATATAAATATGAAAACCTTTTGGTCCAACAATTCCATTTTGGGGAATTACTTTATGGTAATAATTACACATGTGTGAAAAGATATATATATTAGGATGCTCATGACTGAGTTATTTGTAATGGCAAAATTAGGAAGGTTTTCAAATGCCTATCACCAGGGATTTGATTAAGTATTGTACATCTATTCAGTAGAATATCTGCAGGAATTAAAAATGAATGTAATCTATATTTTAGATCATGGGGGAAATGTTTACATTATGTTGCTAAGTAAAATAAATCAGTGTCATAAGAGCATAGATAATATGCTCACAGTTTTGTTCAAAACTATACTCTGCATGTGTGTATATGTGCATGCGTGTATGACGTGTAGATGCATTACCCAGATCCCCCTTCGAAGAAGGACTTGTTGCCCCATCTGTCCCTTCAGAGATACTGTCAGCTGAAGAGCCAACTCTCCAATGCCCTGCCCTCCTGGGTAGGTAGAGTGGGCACATCTTGATTGAGGCAGGAATAGAGGACCAGGCCATTTTGGCCCAACACAGTACAACTCTGATGGGCCATTTCCACTGCAAAGCTCTTGTGGGGTCAGCCCAGGCTGTTGGTAGGCCTGCAAGGCAGCTTGACTTCTCTCTCTACCCAATTTTGTTTTCTTTCCCTCCTTTCCATAGGTGCTGACCCCAAGGACAATTCTTAAAAGACATCCTGAACAATAAACTCCATAGCAGAATCTACTTCTCAGAAAACCCAACCAGCAATTTTTATACCTAAACAATGAACAAATTCTGGAAAGAAAAATCCACCAAATATTTTGTATTGGATGGGTTTTGTTTTATAATTTCTGGCATTGTCTGATTCTTCTCTCTCTCTCTCTCTCTCTTTTAGAGATGAGGTCTCCCTCTGTAGCACAGGCTGGGGTACAGTGGTGTGGAGTACAGGGTTGCTCACTGCAGCCCTGAACTCCTGGGATCAAGAGATCCTGCTGCCTCAGTTTCCCGAGTAGTTGGGAATATAGGTGTGTACCACCACACCCCACTAATTTTTTAAAATATTTTGTAGAGACAGGGTCTCACTATGTTGCCCAGGCTGGTCTGGAACCCCTGGGCTCAGAAGATCCTCCTGCCTCGGCCTCTCAAAGTGCTAGGATTACAGGTGTGAGCCACTATGGCCTGTCTGATTCTTTTAAAATGAGTGTTTGTTATTTTTGTCATCAGATAGCAATAATAAAGCAGTTTTTATTTTGGAAAATACAAAGTTAATGGTTTTGTTTTAGTCTGGTCAAAATGGCTACCTCAAAGTGTCTGTATCAAATGGCAGCGTCCAACCCATCTGTCCTTCTTAGTGGGGTAGGTGAGCTTTTCGGAACACCCACTGCTCCATGTCCTTCCTCCTGCTCTAAGCGTTGGACCTGGTAAAAGTTCTGGTACTTTTTCTACCAGGTTGTTCTGGGGCACAGTTGAGGTTGACTGTGAAATGTAAGATGAAGAGCAATTTGGGTGGATGTGAGGAGCTGTAGAAGATGATTTACACTGCAGGGATGGGAGTAGAGGGAAGCAGAATGCTATTAGAACACGTCGATATGCAATGGCTCACGCTTGTAATCTAGCACTCTGGGAGGCCAAGGTGGGAGGATCGCTCAAGGGCAGGAGTTCAAAACCAGCCTGAGCAAGAGCGAGACCCCGTCTCTACTAAAAATAGAAAGAAATTAATTGGCCAACTAAAAATATATAGAAAAAATTAGCTGAGAATGATGGTGCATGCCTGTAGTCCCAGCTACTCAGGAGGATTAGTGAGGCAGGAGGATTGCTTAAGCCCAGAAGTTTGAGGTTGCTGTGTGCTAGGCTGACGCCACGGCACTCTAACCCGGGCAACAGAGTAAGACTCTGTCTCAAAAAGAAAAAATGTTGATAAATTTCCAAGCCGTATGTAGTTCCAGGTAGCCTCTCTCTCATCATGAACAGGTGGAACATATGCGTTGGGAGGAGAGTCAAATGCCATCTGCCACTCAGATGCCTCAGAGCCTTGAACTGTTTGGCAAAATCCTTATCCTGCCTCTATCAGAAGGATGTGTGTTTTAGTTCCCCTTTGAGCGTTCTGTGGCTTTTTTAGATTTTGGCTGAATCTTGTGGTTATGTTCTGGGGTGTAGGGAATCTGTAGGGTTAAAGCCATTGATGCTGAGAACAAAGTATTTTTTGGCCAACTCAGTCTTAGGAAATATTGGATTAGCTATCAATTGTAGCAGAGACTATAAGTTAGTCTCTAAAATCCATCCTCCTCTTCTTCACTTAGTAAATACAAAACCCAAGCGTTTGGTGGCACGTGGCCATCCAGCTAAAAACTGCATTTCCCAGCCTCCCTTGCAGCTAGATGTGATTAAATGAGTAAATTTTGTGAGCAGAATTGAAGTTCCAGGTTATCTCCTTAAAGGAAGCAACTTTGTCTTTTCTTCTCTCCTGCTATCTGGGATGCAGACCAGGCAGATACGGTGATGAGGTATCTGTGCAGCACCCTAAGGGATGAACAGGCAACAAGATAGAAGAAGCCTAGATCCTGTCACAGTGGAACCAACATAGCATCCCTTGACCACTTACACTTGAATTGTTATGTAAGAGAGAAACAAACTTCTTTCTTTTCTTTTGTTCTTTGGGGTTTTGTTTGTTTGTTTGTTTGTTTTGAGACAGAGTCTCACTTTGTTGCCCAGGCTAGAGTGAGTGCCGTGGCGTCAGCCTGGCTCACAGCAACCTCAATCTCCGGGGCTCAGTGATCCTTCTGCCTCAGCCTCCCGAGTAGCTGGGACTACAGGCATGCGCCACCATGCCCGGCTAATTTTTTTTGTATATATATTTTTAGTTGGTCAATTAATTTCTTTCTATTTTTGGTAGAGATGGGGGGTCTCGCTCAGGCTGGTTTCGAACTCCTGACCTTGAGCAATCTGCCCGTCTCGGCCTCCCAAAGTGCTAGGATTACAGGCGTGAGCCACCACGCCCGGCCCTGCTTTTGTTTTTTGAGACAAGGTCTTGCTCTATCACCTCAACTAGAATGTAGTGATGCGATCATAGCTCACTGCAGCCTCCAACTCTGGGCTCAAGCGATCCTCCTGCCACAATCTCCTGAGTAGCTGGGACTACAGGCGCCACCACACCCAGCTAATTTTTAAATTTTTTGTAGAGACAGGGGTCTTGCTATGTTGCTCAGGGTAGTTTCAAACCTCTGGCCTCAAGCAATCCTCCCACCTCAGCCTCCCAATTCTTTCTTGTTTAACCCACTGAATTTTGGGAAGGGAGAAGTGTGAAATAATCATTGTCTTTTTGTTATTCTATTATAGTGTTTATAATACTCATGTAATTCTTTGTTTAATTCTCTGTGTACCTCTCTAGACTGTTTCTTTCTTTGTGAACTACTAGCACATAGGAGGCATCCCATAAGTGTTTTTTAAATGTGTAAATAATTGAATAGTAGGAAAATTTATGGAAAGGGAAGCTAGGGAACTAAATACAACTTCAGTTTCACAACTTGGTGTAACTAAAGTTTCCCCAGGCCCCTCTGGCCTGGAAGGGGGGCAGAGACATACCACTAAAGCCCCATCAACAATGTCAGGCAGGTGGGAGGGGGAAGGGGGGATGGGTATATTCACACCTAATGATTGCAGTGGGCACTGCCTGGGGGGACGGACATGCTTGTAGCTCTGACTCGGGTGGGGCAAAGGCAATATATGTTTGTATCTAAATGTTTGTACCCCCGTAATATTCTCAAATTAAAAAAAAAAAACGCAAGGAGATAGCAATTATTAATGCATAAGTATTCACAGCTTTCCCTTCCCTTAGCCCAGAGGAAAATTCTGGTGTTTCTCGCTCAGCATTCTGTTCCACTTCACCCCTACCCTGATCAAAACCCACAGTCATCTCTCAGATCAGGTTCATCAGTGTGAGGAGCAGCACAGAGACGGAGGGTTTGTGTCAGGGAAACAGGGAGGGGAGGCCTGAGGAGCCACAGTGCGTGAGAGGGTGGGAACCTGGGAAGAAGGGGGACTGAAGGTTATAAACTATATTTTTCTTTCTTTCCTTTCCTTTTTTTTCTTCCTTCCTTCCTTCCTTCCTTCCTTCCTTCCCTTCCTTCCTTCCTTCCTTCCTTCTTTTCAGACAGGGTCTCACTTTGTTGCCCAGGCTAGAGTGAGTGCCGTAGCATCAGCCTAGCTCACAGCAACCTCAAACTCCTGGGCTCAGCAATCCTCCTGCCTCAGCCTCCTGAGTAGCTGGGACTACAGATGTGCGCCACCACGCCTGGCTAATTGTTTTCTGTTACTTGTAGAGACAGGGGTCTGGGGGGGGGGGGGTCTCGCTTTTGCTCAGACTGGTCTTGAACTCCTGGCCTCAAGTGATCCTCCCGCCTTCGCCTCCCCGAGTGCTAGGATTACAAGTGGGAGCACCCTTTTGAACATCACTTGAAAAGAAGTAAAGACTAGAATTAATTTGCTTTTGATTGCTGCTCTGTGTTCTCCGAGAGCAACACCACAGAAAAAGACCGGGCAGAGGACACTGGGACTTGTTTCTCTTTCTGCACCAATTACTAGCTAAAGTTTCGCTGGCTTTTAAACCCACCTCTTCATAAGAGGATTCTGCCCCTTCTCCAATTCACAAATTATTTTTAAAGAGTCCCTGGATGTTGCTTCTGACTCTCACTGTGTGCCGGCTGCCTCAGTCGCCGGCAGGCAGCCCCAGCCCCCGTAACTGCCGCTGCTGTCCTGAAGGAAGCTGACGCCTCTGCCAAAGCGCCGTCTTCATACGCACCAAACATCTTCCATCATCAAGGATGGTTTTCTCTGGAATCTTTACTGTGCCAGAGTCGTGCTATGACCCTCACAGAGGTGGAGGGAACGTTCTTTTCCCCTTGCCTGACCTTGCCTTGCAGTCACCTTCCACATTCTCCTCCTTTTCCTCAGAGTACAGACATGAGTCTACAGCCCGTGCTGGCAAACTTGTCCTGTAAAGGGGCAGAAAGTAAATATTTCAGACTTTCAGGTCACACACCATCTCCGTCACTTATTATTCTTTGTTGTTCTTTCTTCCTTATAACCTTTAAAAAGTGCAAAGAGTACTACTAATTTGCAGACCGTACAAAAACAAGCCCTGAGTTTAATTTTGCCTCCAGCCAAAGTTTGCAGACCCCTAGTCTCTAGGAATTGCCCAAGGAACTGGTACCCATGATAAAAGTCCTCCTCATCTTAATTTTTCTCCCAGATACATATGCAAAAATCAGAAATAAAAAATTCTTCTTCACTCAAAAAACCATCATGCAAGTTGAACTGTTGCAGTGGTGTTCCCAGTTCAAAATGCAAGACCTGGTGTTAGTCTAGTTAAACTAGTCTACAGCCAAATGAACTGAGCTTGAGATCCTCGTCAGCTTTTCAGTTGCATACTACACAGTCTGTGGGTTAACACTCCTGAGCTGTAGTGTGGGACAACCACAAATGGCCAATGGTTGCCTTGGAGTTTGGGGTCCAAATGTATCTTTAAGAGAGTTGATAAACCCACTTTGTTATTCCTCAGTCTTCTGGATTCACAGCGTGAACACATAGCTGAAAAATGTTTCTGAGCTCTATCAAGCATTAATAATTTGTTTAAATGATCCAGAAACCTACAGCCAGATTACTGAATTTTTAATCTTCGGGAAGCTGAGTTGATTATAAACAAGACTACTGACTTGTAAAAATGCATCTTGTTCTTGTCATTTGACAAGTATAATTTTGCTTCAGTTATTTAAGATACAGCTTCTTCTAGTTGGTAAGGAAATGATCTGCTGTGAATGTGCAAAGCAGCGACATTTGCGCAACATGGCGCCTCGGGGCAGCAACTGTATGGCTCATTTCTGCAGATGAGTGAGATCCCTGCTAGACGGCGTGTGAAGAGGCGCAGACGTTATTGGAATTTCTGTTTCACCAAGGAGAATTAGGGAATATTTACCAAATGGGATTTCTGTGTATCCATATTTATAAGCACAATCCCAGAGTGTATAAGGCCATAAAATTAGTCATTTATTCAGTAAACATTCTGTGTGAGGCCCTGTGCAGAGCACTGATACTAAAACATTTAAGCACAGCGAATGTATTTGCTCAATAAAAAATAATGACTCATCCTAAAGAAAGAATATTTAAAATAACCGTTCTAATGTGTGGCCACCTTATATGGAAGACATAAAGCTTATAACTATTTGTAGCCCCCAGCATTGCAAAGTCTATGCAAAAATACAAAGTAAAACACACTCACATACCTACATCAGTGCTTTTTATGGGAATGGAAAAGGAAGCCAGGTCTCCCTAATTAAGGGATATATTCTCTAACCTTTTACATATTTGAAAGCTGATTTAAGCTCTGAAGGGAAGCCTCGTCCATTAAGTGATCACCAGGATGCCCCGAGGCAGCTGTAGATCCCGAATGTAATCGTTGAACTGTCAGCATCTTCCGGCTGCTCTTCCGCAGCGATGCAGAGAGCTCCCTTGTCTGTCCTCTCAGGCAGCTCGTGCTGCCAGATGCCACCTGAACTCGCAGAGGGCAGTTCTCCTGCCTTGGGAACGGGGGTGCTGGGGAGGACGGCTCTGCTCTGCCAGTTAGTTCAGCTCAAACAGCTCGGGCTGGCTCCAGGCCCAGCACTGGCAGGGAGGGAGGAAGTCTCAAGCCCGAGGCCCGGCCCTCGCTGGGATCAGAGCCCACTGACCCACACTGCTGACCTTGGCACTGGGCAGAGGCAGAGACAGGACCCCCAAAACATCACGGGGGAATGTCACGGTCTCTGTGTGCTGAAAATCCATATTTGAGGGTTCCTCTTGGAAGATACTCAGAAATGATAGAAGGAAGCTGAGTTCTGGATAAACAGAAAGAATATGCATGGAATGAATATGCATGGAAGAAACAGTCGTGTCCCGTGTGTGTGTGTGTGTGTGTGTGTGTGTGTGGAAGAATATGCATGGAATATGCATGGAAGAAACAGTCGTGTCCCGTGTGTGTGTGTGCATGTGTGTGAGTGTGTGTGTGAGAGAGAGAGAGAGAAAGAGAGCACGCACATGTGTGCATGCACATGTTGGGGCTCATGGGGAAGCTGTGCTGTAATAACGTCCTTTGTCTCTGACCAGGAGTCTTGTGTCTTCCGGCAGCATCAATGAAGCCGTGACTGGCTCACTTGTTAGCTTTAAAGCAAGGAAAAAAGCTCAGCTCCTTCATGGTTCTTCACATTATTCTGCCTTGTCATCTCTTTGGGTCATCATCTGACTTGGAGTTGGGGGAAATTATAGTTAAGATGTTATAAGGATAATCACAAAGTGGCTACCGTGAGATTAATGCTGCTCTCCTCAGGGCCCTGCCACCTTCCTGGTTATCTGTAGCCTTTCCTTGCCACCATCAGGCCAGCACATTTGGGGCAGAAATCGAGTTACTGGTTGATAATAGTTCCACCAGGTAGTGAGCACCCCTGTGTACCAGCCACTCCTCAATACATGATCTCTGTTTCTTTCTTTTTTTATTTTCTTTAAAAAGAGCATTTCTAATAGACTAAATACTAGTTATCACTGAGTTTTTGTTTAAGGTACAACAGCAGCATGGTTCAAATGTTATTTACAGTTCTTGGAAAAAATAAAAAATTTAAAGTAATGAAATATAGAAAAAGTAGGGACCACTTTTCATTCTTTTGAGTACCATTGTTCTCTTGAAAAAATATTCCAACCTTCTAAAATCCCAGAGTTAAGAACCATTTCCAAGGGGAAAAGTAAATCCAATGCCACGACATAACTTCTGAATAAAAGTGTGTGTGCGTATATATATATGTATATATATGTGTATGCGTGGAACAAAAAAGGATGCCAAAGTACTTAGTATTTTTAATTTCCTTCAAAGTAGCTTCTGAAATCTGAAGCAAACATTTGGCTTACCAAAATGTGTTCTTCTAGTTGTTTGATCCCCATTCATGCAAAAAGAACAAAAGAAAAAAAAAAAGAAAAGAAAGAAAAAAAAGGCAGAAAGAGTTACTAAGTGGACAATAAGGCTTCAAATTCTAAATGTCTTTGAAAGTAGGTATGAAGAAAAATGAAACCAGGCCAAACTTGGGTCGAAAGTGTCCCTCAACCAGCCATTGCCATGGTGTGCCTTTCACAACTATCTTTTTATTCTTGGTCTCAAAATCAGTACCAGAAAAGCCTCGCAATTTCTGGCATAGGACATAAATTCCTAGTGCATAAAGATAACTAATTATACTCTAGCAAATTATGTTCTAAGCTTAGCTTTCTCCAGGTTTTGTTAACACAGAACTCAGGTGGAAGCTTTCTATGAAACTCTAGATTTGATACTGTTACACACAGCTGACTTACGATTTGCCAATTAAAAAAAGTAAAAGAATCTAAAAATTAAATATTATAGAACTAATGGGTAATAAAATGGAATATTTGTTAGAATTCAAGTGCTAGTCTCTGGGAATTTTTAATAATTATTCACTTATTCCCAACTTTTCCTTTTCTTTATAAATTATTATTTTAGACAGCACATACACATAGATTTAGGTAGAAAATTTTGTTAAATATCTCTCTGGCACCCAATACCTAATCCAATACTCTGACTTGAATTAATTTATAATGGTATCTAATCCATGTTCAAATAAAAAGGTTAACAGTAAATGATAGAAAATTACTGAGTCTACAGGCTAAAATTTTTTTCACATCTTTTGTAATCCACCTTATTTTCACAGCTTGACTAACAAATACAGATAACCAATAGATAAGTTTGTCCTTCATCGAATAATCCAAAATAATAATTGTAGGCCTGTCATTCTTAAGAAAGTATAATTTGTTATATTCTGACATTGGCACTTAATGAAATGTTAACAACCAAAGTTTCTCTAAAAATTTCAAACATTCCAACAAAGGAGATATACAATTTAAGACTGTTTAAATCTGTTGCTGTGAAATTCTGATAATTCCCATTTTATATGCATAATTAGATCTTTAAAATTGTGGCCATTTCCCAAAAGACACCAACCTATTATGACAAACTCAAGAGAGAACTTATCTCCTTCATAAGAATTTTTTTTTTCCCACCTAAAAATTTCCAATATCCTAAATACCCGATCACTCTCAGTTAAACGTTTTGGCGACTCACATTAGTGAAAATAATATGAAGCAAAGAGCCAAAAAGAATGGAAATTACCTCAACCAAAGGTAATCACACATTCTTGCACTCCGCTTAAACACTCAGAAAAGTCAAAGGGATACTGTTTTGAACAAATAGAGCTTCAAGGTTCTGGTACAATTCTGATTGTATTAAGGCTTTCACCATCATGATCTCTTAAAGTCTCTCCACTTTAATGTTCTCATACTGATTCTTATGGTGATCTTAAATAGATATTAAAGGTCTTGTTTTGGCTTTTCATTAGGGAACCACTCTGTCATCTCTGAATGTTAAAGGTGATCCCACAGAGCTCAAAGAGAAGAGGCAATATGGTAAGAACCAATTTCAAAGTTTGCAATACCAAGACAACAATGATCAACACTTTGAAGCAAGATGAATAAATTAAAATTCTTGGTTAGACATTAAAGCATTCTTGCCAAGAATAAGTATACACTATATAGAGGGATATTTGATTCCTACATACGAGTTCCAATATGCCCATTACATTTGTTTATAGGAGACACTGCAAGTTTAAGGTAATTTACATTCCTTGGCAATCAAGTTACTGTTATAGGCAATGTCTTTTATTGTTCCATCTGGCACTTGCTAACACTATTCTTGAAAAACCTAGAAATGAAGGTCAGTCACTCTGTTTATCAGGAACAGAACCAAATAAAAACAAATTTTTGGAAAAATGACCAAGAAATTCTGGTTCATCGCTGTTTTCCATATCTAATGGTTTCTTCAAGATAAAACATAACTCTTCCTTCCATGACAGCTTTCCAACAAAGGGAGATTAAAGAAAAAAAGAAAAGAAAGTTCCCCACCCTTCCCCCCTAAATTGTCATTCATACTGGTAAAGGAGACAGTCTTGTTAGCAGCTAAATATTGCACTGCCTTTCATTCTGTGTACAGTCAGGGTCCATTAAGTGTGGCACACTCATGATATAACTGATGGATGATGACAATGCCAGCTTAAGAGTGAAGACTCAGTATATGGAGGGACAAGAAACATGTCAGCACTAGTCACACATCCAGTTGCAAAGTCTGATTTCCAGAAGTTAAAATCCATCACTTTCAGCTGCATGAAGTTGTGTATCATCCGCATCTGTCATGCTGCTCTCCTGGGATTCATCTGTTCCCATGATCTGTTCTTCTTGTGTTATTGGCTCCTCATCATCTGGAAGATAGCGCTTATCAATTGCCTCTTTAGTCTGGTTATTGGCTCCTTTAGGATCTAAGTCCATAGCCCAAGAGAAATTCATCAGGGCGAGGTGCATTTGACCTAATTTCTTGTAAACCTTTCCTATTAAGAAGTAAACAAGGGATTCTTTGGGAAAGATTTGTTTCAATTCTTCAAGTTCTTGTAAAGCCAACTTATATTTTTCACTTGCAAATAAAACTGAGGCTCTGTGAAATTTGCATAGAGGATTCTTGGGATCAAATAACAATGGCTCTGTTTAGGGTATCCAAAGCCGCCTCAGATTTTTTTAGTGCATGCTGAACTTTAAAGATGAGAATACTCAAGTCCAGAGTCCAGAGATTTTTTTTTTTTCTTCAAGACAGAGTTTTGCTCTGTCACCTAGGTAGAGTAGAGTGGCATCATCACAGCTCATTGCACCCTCAAACTCCTGGGCTCAAGTGATCCTACTGCCTCAGCCTCCCAGGTAGGAGTAGTTGGGACTACAGGTGTGTGCCATGATGCCCAGCTAATTTTTCTATTTTTAGTAGAGCATGATCTCTGTTTCTTGCAACAATTTTGAAAGCTTAGAATTATGCTTGACCTGAGGCTAAGAAGGGTCACGAAACTTGTGCGAGATCACTGAGTGTTATGGGCAGGACTCCTACTCAGGTTTGTCTGGTAGCCAAGCTCAGTGTCTTTCCCCCACAGCCCCATGCTACCTCGCCTATTCCATAAGGTTTCAGAGGAAAACAAGAAATGTTTTAGTGGCAATATCAGCCAGTTTGCTTAGCTTCCTCTCCCCAAATGAATGCCACCACCCTGTTTCCAATTTTATCCGACCCCTATTATTGCCAATGCACAGCCGCTCCTCAGCCTTTTCCCCATTAGCCTCTCTTCTTGAATGCAGAGATATTAAGAGTATTTTTTCACATGATGTAAGAGAATAATGACAGGAAGTGCAAGATGAACCGGCACTTCACAGCAACGAGAAAGTAATCCATGACCTCAGCTTCCAGGGCGTGGGTTTAATGTGTGTCTGCCGGAAACCCGAGTTGGGAGCTCCCGCCTCCAAGTCTCCGGGTCTCCTCCGTGGGGGCTCATTCGAGGGACAGACGGCTGCCATCCAGCCTCTATTTCCAGGAAACGACACTTCGATTCCTTGTAGTGTTCACTTTCAAAGGAAGGCGATTTTTATGATTCTTGAAAGGGGAAGAGCATTTGAAGAAAGGTTGACTGAAAAGATAGAAAAATCCACAACTCACTTTCATTTTCAGTTGAGTGCCTCCTGCTGCCACATCTGTGCTGGCTGTGAAATTCCCTGTGGGCTGTGCGCAGGTGGTGGAACCTCCACTAAATGAGCTACCAGCTCCAACATTTCCAGGCACCCCCCATTTTCCCTGAATTCACCAAGCTTCTCAGCCAGCCCTGGGGATGCCTTGGGGCATGGAAGATTTGAAAACAAAAGTGTGTTTACAAACTCAGCTTCACCATCGGATGATACTATATTTTCCCAGCAGAATTTATATTCACTGCTCCCTTTAGGAGTACAAGGGCTGCCCAGAAAGTATCCAGCTATTGTTAATATAACCAGAACGGCTGGATAGCGGACAACCCTCGTATAGGCACGCTCTAAAATACATCAGAGTTCAATAGCTTGGTGATAATTTAAACTCTCATTAGAGTCGAGTTAGTGAAAATTATACAGCTGCAAAGCCATTTGGCTAGGCAGAGATGTAATAAGACCAGAGACTATAGGACGAATGGGGAAATGGTTCCAAAGGGTAGAGAATGGAAAATATTGGTACATGAAATAACTGGATTGATCCAAGCCAGTGTGGCTAATCGAAGAGGCCCAGTGAAGGGCAAGAAATTTGACAACCCTTCTTTACTGGTATGTTTGTTCTCACAGGGGTACAATAAAGAGAGAGGTTATGAGACCAACGGAGTGAACTGGGCCTGGCCTTGGAGCGTGTGCCCAAGGAGGTTCTTAAAAGGAAGGAAGACACATGATGTACAGTTTTGAATCTGTTTTCCAGCAGCTTCTGGCCTCTTCTATGGACAGCGAAACCAGCCACGGCTGGTTGGCGTCCCTGCCGGCCCAGCCAGCTGCTGGCCGTTTTGTGATTGACGTGAATGCCCATCATCACAAGTCTCCTCACTCACACTGGGTTTGCCAAGCCATCCTGTGGGTTTATTGGCAGGAAAGTTTCTCTTATTATCCCCAAACCTCAAGTTTGTGTGGCTTGGTGGTTTGTGAAACGTGGTTTATTTCTGTTGATGTAATTTTGGTGTTTTTGGTTTTGGTGTGAAAAACGTGACACAGCTTTTAAGGCAATAAGATGTTAAGACGAGGTATAGGATGCTGTGAAGGTTGGGGCGCATGACCCTGTCATCTTTGTGTATTTATTTCTCTCTGAAGTGTGTATTTCTGCCTATCTGTCCCTGGGCTTGGGCACATTCTTCTCTGCCTGTCTCTGCATCACTTCTCTTTTAAACTGTCTCTTTCTGTTTCTCTCTCCAGTTTTTGCCTCTTTCCCCCACCCTTTTTTTTTCTTCTCATTCATTTATTCAAGTTGGATTCAGTGTCAATCACTGTACATTGTCTCTAAAAATGATAAAATTTCCCCTCCCAAACTTGAATCTAGCAGCTTTTTCATGTAAGTACCTCAATCAGCCTTATTTTCCAAGGGTCAGTGACCTTTGAGGGAAAACAATTGTTCTTGACATTTCCCTGATCCGTGATGGTGTTTCCCAAGGATTGTGCCCCACGCCGATCCTACGTTAGTCTATGCAGAATGTTGATACCCTTCAAAGCTGGTAAGAAATAAGTTACGAAAATGATGACACAAGCGCCCGGCTATACAGAAAAATGAGAGGAAAAATCTATGAAAATGAAACATTTAATTAAGCTTCCTGATTTTAAACTGTTTCAAACATGAAACATACGGCTCTGCAAAGCATGGAACAAAAACCAAAAATCTGACAAGCTGGTCAAAGTTTGAATTTCTTTCAAATTTACAAACAAGGCATTTACATGTTAAAATGATTCAGATCCATGACTATGATGCTTTCTAATTGATTTTTCCCTTTAAATAGCCAGAACACGGAGCTCCTAAGGGGCTCAGGCTGCGAGCACCCTCAGAACCCTAAACGTGACAACGCCTCTGGAGCCAGCACCAGGCCACCTTGCCCGGAGTAGGTGCTGAGCACACATGGGTTGAAATTCAAAATGCTGGAAATCATTCTTCTCCTACCGTATGCACTAACACACTTTCCAAGATTCTCCCCATTGCCTACAATTACTGGAAGACCTCATGTTTCACACCAACGTCTCCAGCATTAGCCGGAAACTCAGAAGACATGAGGAAAGACAGCATTCATTATTCATGGGAGTACTGCCGTCCTCTAAGGAAGCCCAGTGAGCTTAATGCCCAGCTTACGCGTCTCATCGATAACCCGGTGCTGTCTCGTTGTTTGTGGCGTCCCTGGGTGAGCTCACTGGAGGGGAGGACAGCTAATTAACAAACACTCTTCGGCCTTAATTAAGCTGCCCTTTCCTGTCCGTCGTACTACTTCATGGACACTATTTCAAAGTAACTTGAGACATTTCCTGCTTTATTTATTTTACTCCCATTATAGAGTTGAATTCAGGTAATTTCTTTTAAAATATGACCCCATTAAGCTTCACTTATCTAAGGAAATGCACACATTCTCACATGTTTTGTATTTTAACACGAGGTGAATTCACTTAAAAGATTAATTTCTTTTTTGCCTCCTCCGCCTGCTCCTTCTTAACTGAGGGTCTGTGAGTGTCTTGCTTTGCTAGGTCTGCCGTAACCAAGTGCCACAGACTAGGGGGCACAAGGGACAGAAGGTCACTTTCTCACAGGTCTGGAGGCTAGAAGTCCAAGCCCGAGGTGTCAGCAGTGTTCGCTCCTCTGAGGGCGGAGGGAAGATGCTGCTCCAGGCCTCTCTCTGTGGCTTGTAGGTGGCCGTCTTGTCCCTGTGTCTCCACACGGCTTTTCCTCTGTATGTGTCTGTGTCCAAATCTCCTCTTCGTATAAGGACAACAGTCACACTAGATCAGGGCCCACCCTAATAACCTCATTGTAACTTAATTATCTCTGTAAAGACCTTATATCCAAATACAGTCACATTCTGAAGTATTGGGGGTTAAAACTTCGACATATTAATTTTGGGAGGTCATGTGGGGGGCCAAATTCATTCCATAGTAATGAAGAAAAAGTGAGATTTCCAAGGGGAGGTAGCAGAACATATGGTCAAGGGCACCGTCTCTGGTGTCAGACCATACGGGTTCAGGGCTCAGCGTCCCCACTCACCACCTAGGTAACATTGGGCAAGTCTCTTTTCTGCCCTTCAGTTCTCCCATCTGTAAAATGGGTTAATAATGATATTTACTGCAGGGAGCTTTGGTGAAGATTAAATAAGTGTTTGCTGTAATAATTTCAAGATTTTCCCTTAAAATGCTTAAAGTGTGTTCATGCGCTTTCTTCATAGGGGAAATGAATGGTGACCAAGCATGTCTGTCTTACCATTCATCCCCAGTGTGCAGCAGTGCCTGGCACACGGTAGGGACGTAACACTTGTTGGTGTTGAACAATCCTACAAAGGATATATTGTGCTGTTTTGTTGGTGTTCAGGAGCTTAGGGTTTGGCAGTCACAAAGCTAGTGAGAGCAGCTCTGTCAGGCGCCCAACCTGGTTTTTTTCCATCATCACACCTGTGTGTATGCTCAACTGTGTGTTGCCAACATTCAGCCTATTGCCTGTGTGAGATTCTGGGATTTTTCTAAAGCTTCTGATGAACAAAATCCCTTTGAGGACTTTGTGAATTTGGAATCTGAGTGCCTTCCCCCACCTCCCAAAGGAATCCCATTATTAAATGTATGTTCTTTCAGATTATAAGTTTCTATAAAATGGACAACCTTGCTCTTTATGTGTGCATTTTCAAAGTCTTCAGAAGATAGCACAGTTTTTGCCCTCCCGTCTGCCAGGCCCACTCCCCAGCTAGCCTGTGTGTCTGCTGAGAGTGCCCAAATGAGAGTGATTTTTGAAGAAATGTTTTCTACATGAGCGTTGAATGCAGGCAAGCCTCTGGCTTTTTTGCTTGTCAGGTTGCCGGTTCCCAGCCTTTCTAGCTCCTCTATCAGATACGTCATGCCCCCTAGTGGAGCAGAGCAGCAAAAAGAACGGGCTGACCTAGATTCTGTTTCCAGGCTGACCACTCACTCATGAGAGCAATCATTGTTGCAGGCAAGCAAGAGCAGCAAGCAAACAAAAACCCCTTCAGGATGGTGCTCCAGGGTTTAGCTACCGTTAACTTTTTAGTGAGGAAAAGCTCTTCATGAAAAAAACGTATTTGAGCATATGAGATAGAAAATAAAAAAGGAATCTTTTGCAGGGCCACACCTTGCCATTCTCCAGGGACATTGTTCTCACTGTGCTCTATGTGGGCGGACCCAGGTACAGCCGCCCTGCAGTGTCCCTACATTTCTGCAATGCTGACCCAAGGCACTGGCCAGGAGTCCTCAAACTACGGCCTGAGGGCCACATGAGGCCTGAGAAAGACATTTATCCAGCTCGCTGGGTGTTTTTGCCCCAGCTGCCTGTCCTGCTTAGCAGCCGACTTGTCTGGGGCCCACAGTGCGCATGTGTGGAATGTGCGCTGCACTCTCCAACGGCCCTCCAACAGTCTGAGGGACAGTGAACTGGCCCCCTGTTTAAAAAGTTTGAGGAACCCTGCACTGGACTGTGCTCTGGACTACGTGAGCAGCAGGGGCTGGGCGTGCGGGAGAAACGAGAACCACGCTCAGCCCAGCACCCTTGCCTGGCTTAGTGAGCATCAGGAAAGGGCTGCCCCACACTTTCCTTTCTGGAAGCGAACAATGACCGGATGGGAGATGAGCCAAGAGTCCTTATGACTTTGGCTACTCAGTCGTGCCCTGCCGTGCCCTGACACGGTCATGTTTCTTCTGGGAGCTCTCCTGATAGGGTTGACGGACCACTGGCTTTGGAATCAAACTGTTCCAGCTCCACCACAACTCATTTGTTAGCTGTGTGACCTACAAAATTAACTTACTCCCCCATCCTGTTTTTATCTGTAAAGCATAGTTAATGATGCTTTTCTCACAGAATTGCTGTGAGAACTAAATAAATACCTATCTCATATGTATTTTTTATATATATATATGTGTGTGTGTATATATATATATATATACACAGTCATGTATCGCTTAATGGTAGGGATATGTTCTGAGAAATGTCTTGTTAAGCAATTTTGTCACAGAGTGTACTTACACAGATGTAGATAGTATAGCCTAGTACACACCCAGGCTGGGTGGCATAGCCTACTGCTCCCAGGCTACAAACCTGGACAGCATGTTACTGTACTGAACACTGTAGGCAGTTGTAACACAATGGTAAGTATTTGTGTATCTAAATATATCTTAACATTAAAAAGGTACAGCAAAAATACAGTATAAAAGATAAAAAATGGTACACATGTATAGGACACTTACCGTGAATGGAGCTTCCAGGACTGGAGGCTGCTCTGGGTGAGTCAGTGAGTGGTGAGTGAATGTGAAGGCCTAGAACGTTCCTGTACACTACTGTAGACTTTTTAAACATGGTACACTTAGGCTATACTAAATTTATTTTAAAAATTTTCTTTCTTTCAATAATAAATCAAACTTACTCTTCTCTTTTTAAAACCTTTTTTAACTTTTTGATTCTTTTATAATACTTAGCTTAAAACACAAACACAATGTACATTAGTACAAAAATAGTTTCTTTATATCCTTATCCTATAAGCTTTATTTGTATTTAAATTTTTTTTCACTTTTTAAAGTTTTTAGTTAAAAATGAAGACACAAACATACACATTGGCCCAGACCTACACAGGGTCAGGATGATCAAGATATCACTAGGTGATAGGAATTTTTCAGCTTTGTAATCTTATAAGACCGCCTTTGTATATGTGGTCCATCATTGACCATTGTTATGTGGTGCATGTCTGTCTGTACGTGTATGTGTGTGCACACGAACATGTGTACACAAAGTGTCTAATATGATGCCCAGTAGGTGCTCAATATCTGTCACTTCATTCATCCTGCCATGTCTTCACGATCACACACTCAGATCTCTCTACGCCTGGGAGGATCCTGATCCTTACACATCATGACACAGGACCCCATCAACACCCCAGCAGTCTTCAAGTTCTACTCTTGCTCCAGGGAAGGTCGAGATAACTAGACTCAGTTTACCTTCTGGAATTTCTCAGGTCTGAATTTTTATTCAGGCAGGCTTTTTTTGTTTGTTTGTTTTGGTTTTGCTTTGTTTCATTTTGACATGACATTGGAGATTTGATACTTGGGATTTCTTCTGTGCTCTAGCCATGGTAAGACATGATCTCATTTTTCTATAGTGAATGGGAGTTGCCATTAAGCCACTAAGATTCTTATCTATCCTAGAAACTCCCAAGTTCCTTTCATTGAAAAAAAATTTAGAATTGGCTCTGTACAGAAAGGGTGGGATGTGGTGACAACAGGCCCTCTAGCAAGGAGGGGACTTCCTGGAGTCAGTGCCCAGCAGCCCTGGCCATTGTCTTCCAGCACCATGTGTAAAAATGCTGCCATGTAACCCAGCAGGCATGCTCTTCATGTACTGATTTCACCCTTACAGCCTTCCCTGAAGATTCTAACCCACCTCGCTGAAATAGAAAGCAGGCGGGGGAGCAGTCTGCTGACAAAAACACCTCCCACCCTGTGTCAAGGTTTTCTGTTCAACTTTTAGTCTTGGAATCCTGAACCCATCTCTAGGTGGGGGCAGGGCGATGTTTGAGGACCACCAAAGCATTTCTGAAAACTGTTACTCACAATATATATTCACACACTGACAACTACGAGTGTGGTTAGTATTACATACAATGAAACACTCTACATTAAATCTGATAAAATCAATTAAGAAATTAAGAAAATATTTTCAAACATATACATCTTTAAATTGCCTTTTATAATAAAATACATCTTATTTTGGTCAGATGTTTCCCCTAAATCACAAATAGCTCCCTCTTAAGTCTCCTGACTCTAACGTGAAGACAGCCTGTTGTGTGCAGCCTACACTAGCGGGGAAACACTGGGAAAAAGAGAGGGGAAATGTAGATGAATGGTAACTCTTCCCTCAAATATTTTAAATGTCTCATTCAACAAATTTATTTTTTAATTTTTTTAAGAGACAGGATTTCACTCTTTTGCCCAAGCTGGGGTGTAGTGGTGCCATCATAGCTCACTGCAGCCTTGAATTCTTGGGCTCAAGTGGTCCTCCTGCCTCCTGGAGTAATGGGACTACAGGTGCATGCCAACACGCCTAGCTAATTTTTATATTTTTTGTAGAGACAGGGTCTCGATATGTTGCCCAGGCTGGTCTTGAATTCCTGGCCTCAGGTGATCCTCCCACCTTGGCCTCTCAAAGTGCTGGGATTACAGGAGTGAGCCACCACACCTGACTTCATTCAACACATTTGTGCCAGGCACCCTTCTAACTACTGGGGGGACATTTGTTAGCAAAACAGACAAAACCCCAGCTTTCATGGAGCCTATATTCTAGTGAGGGAAGATGGTACCATGTTAAGCCATATTGGAGCCCGAGGCAAAAGGAGAAATCAGTAACATTGATTTTGTGTTTATTTAAAAATTTGATAGTCTATTTGTAATGGATTTTTTTGTATTTTGATTTTTTAAAATATGGCATCAAAATATCTATTTTGAATACTGAAATTATTGGAGTCCCCTTAAATTTTGTGCCTGAGGCAAATGCCTTACTCCTGTCACCCCAGTCTTGGCCCTGAACCAGATGCTAACAGATGCTGAGGCGCAATGCCCAAATTTCCAGCTCAGGACTGATGCACCCACTTTCCCCAGCTGCTGAGAGTACTGGCAGCTCACAGCTGAATCCCCTTCCAGAGATTGCCTTTGGGTGCAGATATCCCTAGCCCAAAGTCATGCCCCCTCCCCAGGGGCAGCCTACAGCCAATAATTGATGAATGAGGAGAGTTAAGTTCCCAGAATAACAGAGGCCAAGTAAGTGGCAATACTGAACTGTCAGGACAGGGTGGGAGCAAATATCTCAGTAAGCAGCAAGGTCAGAGTGGCAGGTGGGGAAACTGACCCACAAAGAGCTATGGAAACAGCTAGAGTCCCTAGAAGCTAGACAGCTGGGCATTCAACAGAGGTAATGCTCAATCTATACCAGCGGTCTCAAAGCGTGGTCCTGGACAGCATCACCTGGGGAATAATTAGAAACACCAGTTTGCAGGCCCCAACCCGGACCTACTGAATTAGAAACTCTGGAGTTGGGGACCAGTAATTTGTGTTGAACAGGGCCTCTAGGCGACTGATAGACTGATCATCAATACAGACAAAAGAAAGGATCGGAGGGAAGCTGTGCCAATAAAAAGTCACAATTCTGTGACCAGCTTCTGTGCCAGAACCATGATAATCAAAATGAGTGACTGAGGTAAGAATCCCAATCAAACCGGGTTTATTAAGCCATTGTAAGGGCGTGTCTGGGAAAAACTCGAGCCACAGAGGTATCTGTGGCTGTTTTATCCCCAAAGATATTTTTAGGAGGTTTAGTATTCATACATTTTCCTGAAGGAGGGAAGGCATGTAGGGAGGGGCTGGTAGGTGGAGGATGATTGATCTCGTCTTTGTTCTCCACCTAGGAAGATAAGCTTGTAATGGACATTATCAGTATAGAATCAACAGACTTTAGTTTTAGGAACTAGACTTAGATTGCAGACCTACAGTTACAATTGGCATGCCCCTGTTTATGGGGGGGATATACATCTTGCAAGGGTTGGAGGACAGCAAAGAAATACTTATGATTTGTGGGGGCCTGAGATGCCTGAAGCCTTTTGCCTTTTTGTGGGGGTTTGGCTAATGTATAAAGCTTTGATATGAGGTTGTGAAATAACAGCCATTCATTTGGAAGAGTTTTGCATGACTTAGCCTCCAGGCTTCACTTTCCTTTTGGCATAAGGAGTTTAGGGGTCCTGGGATTTTTTATTTTCCTTTACAACCAGTTTTTGGACGCAGAGCCCCACTGACTGAAGGAAAGGCCATAACCCACTGGTTATGTCCCTGGCCCCTGAATGTGTAACTGAAATGGACAAAGTTGGAAGTTGTTGGAGCACCCATATGCTCACATTGGTTCCTTGGCCTATGGCAAAAGCTAGCATAGTGCAGAGGAACTCTTCAACTTCCCCCTACCCACCCAAGACTGCAAATTAAAAACATCCTGGGGCAAATGGCAGAAATTCATATCACTGAGGAAAGGAAGCAGAGTGGTGATCCCCATCAAATCTCTATTTAATTCATCAGTCTGGCCCCTACAAAATCAAACAGATCCTGAAAAATGTTAGGAGAGTTCCCCAAACTCCAACTAGCAGTGCCCACTGCAGCTGCTGTGCCGGATGTGGTCTAAGCCACAACCCTCACCACAACAGCTGTCTGGAGGGAGCAAGTGATACTCAGTGTCTCTCTCCACTATCCATTCTAGATTTCCCTCACCCTTGGTTAGCACTTGTGAAAATAAACGAGTAAATTTTATTGTATACTAGATGGTAAAAAATGCTACACACAATTGGATAAGGGGAGGAATGTTTTGCAATTTTGAATAGGTTAGGGTAGGCTTCACTGAGAGATGACGTTTCACAAAGCCTTGATGAATGGGAGGGCGTGATTCTGTCAGATTTTAGTCTGAAATGTTGGTTCTTAGTGCACTCATGGCCAAAGAACCACCAGACACACCAAAGAAAAACACGCATGAAAATGAAGTTTAATTCTGCACGTGGCTTCAGGAACAAAAATAAATAAATAAATAAAATAAAAAAAAAAAAAAAGAAAATGAAGTTTATTGAGGAGAGAAAGATAGGATTATAGAGCAAGAGCAAGATACAGCCTTACAGAGTGTGATACATGTGCCACAGATGACAACCAGATCCCTTGTCGCAGCAAAGGGAGAGCAAAAGGAAGGACACAAAAAAAGAGGTTGCCATTTTATAGCCATAAGCCTATGTCCATGCCCACATTGTGAGGTTGACAGGTGTGGAGTAAGTTGCTTGAAAAGCAGCACCTAGCTTCACCTGGTTTCAGCAGTCCTTAGTGACCTAGATCTCCAGGGTAGGTTGGTTCTGAACTCTTAAATGTTGTGGATTGAATAAAGGCAAGCTGTAGGGATCCTTCTTGTGGGTGACCCAAGACTTCCTCTGGTGTTCTACCAGTGAAGCAGGAGGTTCAGCACTTGGGGAAGGGATAGAAGTCAAGTGCACATGAAGAATATCTAGGTTTGTTAGAATTACAATTTGTCAACCAAGAATGGATCTTTATTATTAAAGTTTTGACATACCTTCAAAAAAAGTTTAAATTTGGTTGAATTAAGCCAAAGAGTTAAAGATATTAGAATAATATGCTTGTCTTGCCTGTATTTTAATAAGATACCAAAAATTATAATAAAAATCCCTATTATAAATTTTAGAATACTGCATAAATATATACTGAAGAGTAATTTTTTATAGTCATTAAATGTAATACTTTTTAATATAGTTAGAATAGAATTTAAATTCTAGTTTGGTCCTCTCACAAAGAAAATTAAGTATAGCTTTTATTGTGTTTAAATAATTTTACATTATTAAAATGTTTTCAAGGAGCCCACTGGCCTGAAATAAAAATATTTTGGCAAGTTGATTTTGAATTAAAGGTTTTTTTTTTTTTACACTTTTCTTCACTGTCCAGAAATATGATCTTTTAGACTACACATATTTCCCAAGACACCTATATGCTTCCTTGGTATACACATTAAAGTCCATATAAGAGAAAGTTTTAGTTGTCATGAAGTCACAAACTCTAAGAAAAGTAGGATACAGCAAGATAAAATATGATCTCAGGGCTTTAAAACATTTTCCAGCTCTGAAGTTACTAAAAAATGACCCAATAGCAGTGGTAGAACTTTTGCCCACTAGTGACTCTCCTGCATAGGAGACCCTGAGACCCAGGGTGTGGTCTCCAATACTACCGACCTGTAAGGGAAGCAGTACCATGGGAACAGCTAATTCTATGACTTGGGGCAGGAAAAAATCAAAATGGGTTTGAACATCCTGTTGTTTTCAGATAGCATGGATGCATTTAAAAGTATTAGAGTACTTTTAAAGGACATGGGAGTCAACATAAAGGGACGTCCCATTGACCAACCTGTGAGACTTTGAGCAATAAATACAAGCACAGTAAGGTAATCACAACACAAAAACAAGCTGTTATAGAATTTTTTAGTAAGTAGGGGAGTGTTTACACAGTACAGGTTGAGTATCCCTAATCCAAAAATCCAAAACTTCTTGAGTGCTGACATGATGTTCAAAGGAAATGCTCATTGGAACTTTTTGGATTTGGGGTTCTCAGCTGGTAAGTCTAAGTATAATGCAAATATTCAAAAAAAAAAAAAGAACCCAAACACTTCTGGTCTCAATCATTTCAGATAAGGGGTATTTAACCTGTACTGAGTATTTTATTACTTCTAATAATTATGTCTGTTTATAGTATTTATCCATTTTATTTTGTTTTTGAGATGGAGTCTCACTGTGTTGCCCAGGATGGAGTGCAGTAGCATGATCATAGTTCACTGCACCCTTGAACTCCTGGCCTCAAGTGATCCACTTGCCTCAGCCTCCCAAAGTGCTGGGATTACAGGCATGAACCACTATGCCTAGTCTATTTATAATATTTAGATCTGTAGTTATTTCTATCTGGGTAAGCACCAAAGAAGAATCACATGGATCTTGTAATTTGGGCCAAATGATCTTGGCAGAAGGTACTAAATCCAAAGTAGGATGATTTCATTAGCATCAATCATGGGATGTACGGTGGGCACAAATAATAACCAGGTAGAAGGTGGCATAGGCAGTCATACACAATAACTAAAGAGAAGAGACAATTCGACACTGTATTTTAAAACATGAATTACTCAATGTCTTTAAGAGACAAGTTAACTACAAAAATTAAATCTCCCATTACTAAGAAACGAAACCTCTAGATTCAAGAGTCCCAATAAAGAATACAAACATTTTAAATGATGATAATGGAACAGATCAAAATACCCTAATGACCAGCCAGTAGGCTAGGTACTGTCAGCCATGCAAAACCCAATACATCATCACTACAAAAGGTACCAAGTTTCAAAGGCAAAAATTCATAAGAAAGGGACTTAAAAATTTACCATTAAAAAAGCATTCTTAGTCTGAGGGGTGAGGGAAAAAGAAAAAAACAAAACAGTCAGCTCCACATTGTGGCTCAGGTTTAAATTACCCCCATCTACACAATCATATCACATCCAGACCAAGATTCGACTGGTCACAAACCTATATCCTTTCCTTTTCCTTTGGTTCTAGTAAGAACACTGGAACCCAGAAAAACAAAAATGCTGAAAGATTAGGACTATATCAAATTAAGAATTACATTATACTGGGAAGTTATTAAATAAGTATAGAAATAATACTACATAAGCCCTAAACCTTTATTAGAACAGGTTTAAGTGAATATGCAATAAGTTTTATAATCACTGCTTACATTTTTTATCAGCTGTTTAAAGTATTTCAAGACTTCAAAAGACTCATCCATACTAAATTTTTATTCACAGTTTAAAATGTTTCAGAAAATCTAATTAGTCGATTTTGGAATTAATGTTTAAATGTTTAAGAAAAGTTGGATTTCCCAAATTTGTTTTCTGTCCATGAACTTAATGAAGTGAGCATTAAACAAATTACATATAGTTTTGAGTATTCTTCATGTCCAAAACTCCCTCAGACAATTAAGAAATCCATCATGTTACAAATTCATACTTCAGAAGAGAGAGACTGTAATTATAGAATGCTAACAACCCCTTGTTAGAATCCAAAGGAATAAGTGATTTTAAAAGCACACAGAAAGACAAGCTTGAGTTATCTATTATTATCAAACACAGTACATAATTTGCTTGGATTTAAAGACAAATGAATCATAACTTAGTAGGAATCATATTTCTATATTATCTACCTGGGCAGATGAGACATGATGTATGGTTGAGACTACTGCACATTCTCTCTTCCTCTAACTACGGGATTTCAGTTGTTTTGAAGGTAGGTCCCCGAGAGAAAAAAAGAAGCTGAAGCACAAAATGTTGGCTCAAGAAGAAAGGAAAACTCAAAAGGTCAGTACTTTAGAAAGCTACTGTTTGACCAGTTGCCAGATCTTTGGGAAGACCATGGAATTGTAAGGACGTCTTTCAAAGAAAGAAAAGCTGAAGTCACATTTAATCTGATGTATACAAATAAATACAAAAATAATATTAGAAAAGATCACATGATTTTGGCAAATCACCCCAAATGATAATAAATATTCATTGTACTTAGCACATTCCAGGTAAAAATACAAAGACAAAAATAGAAAAAGTGTTCATCTGCCTTGTTACATTTATGAGTGCTTTCTTCCTGGCATTTGTTCCTGAGTGAATGAAAGAAGGGATCTAGGGAAGACCCCCTCTTCCTTAAAAAACAAATCAAAAAACAGAAACATCTTTGGGAATATAAGTACTCCATTTGTAAAATTAAGCACAAGATCTATTAAATTCAACTCAAGTGCTGGTATCACACTGACCTAAGCCGATTAAGTCATGAAGCAGAATCTGAAATTAGCAAACGTGATGGGGAGCTGCTGTTCAGAATGGTACTCAATATGGCCAACGGTTCTGTACATTTGTAAGTAGCACGCTGATACCCTGAGGGGCTGCGCTGAGTTGTGGAAGGTGAAATTTGACCAGAAAGCTTTTCATAATTATGGCTTTTTTCTCATCTCTTCATCCCAGTCAAAATCTAATGTTTCATCATCTAGTTCTGATAAAGTGAAGAGAGTTTTGCAAAGAGTCAGTTTCTCGGTGGACCCCTGGAGCTGAAAAGATTTCCTCTTACTGCCAAGCACTGGAGCTGTGGCTGTGGGAGGAGGGCTTGGACCTCTCTCACTGCAGTCCTTCCTTTCAGGAGGAGGAGGGGATTCTGATTTGGATTCTGATGGGGAAGTAAAGGAGAAGTTTGCCAATTTGGCTAATGTGCAAGCATGAACTTTGCTGCTTTTATAATTGCATGAAACCTCTCCCTTTTCGTCTCTCTCGCAAGTAAGACGAGCACGCCCAGTCTGGTTTCCAAACTCGGATCCACGCTGAATAGCTCTCTTCTCAGGGGCACATTCCCTCTTCTCTATTGACCCAGCTTTCTCTGGTGGCTGCTCTGACACCTCCTTTGTCTTACCCTGTGGATGATCTGAGCTGTTTCCTGAAGTAGATGTCAACTTTTCTGAACCTTTCACAGGCAGAACTGCTTCTTTTCTTGTTCTACGCTGGGAAATTTTAGGACTATGAACTGCTATTTCCGTTGTGCCAGGAGACACATGGCTGTGGTCTTCAGGGGAGTGGATCAGTTTCGACTTCTGTTTGAAAGTAAATTTTGCCAGTTTGGCCACAGGGGGAACTGGAGTCTCAACACTTTCAAGTTCAAGTCGTTCTGCTTGAGCAAGGGATTTCAGTCTTTTTCTTTTGGGAGTTTCCAGTGTTCTTTCTGGGCTATGTACAGGAATGGATTGAGGATCAGAAGGGACTGTAGACTGGGAAGGTACCCTGGTGGTATTTCTGTATAACTTCTCGGCCCTCTCCCTGCACAGCTTATGCAGTCTCCTAGAGGCATGATGAGTCAGTACCGAGTCCGGTTCATCAGCAGGTGCTGCTGGTTCTGACACTGGTGCTGTGCATTTTGCCCTTTGACCCTTCACATTGTCTGGCCTCCACGGAGCATCTGTCTCTACTGGTGATGGAAACTGCCCAGCTTCCACTTTGTTCCTTTGGCCTGGTTCACTCTTTTCCTTACCTTGAGATTTGTTATTAGAGATCTTTAAAGCCATATTTTCCTCAGTTGTTTTGGGATCAGGAGACACAAGAACAGTGTTTTTAGGTTCAGAGTGATGAGTTGCCATGAAGTCAAACCAGTCCAAACTGTCATCTCTGCTATTTTTGGGCTCAGCTGAATGTTTTTTCCTTGTTGATCCATTAGGCCCTAGAAGGGGTGGGGGGTCTAGAAGTGGGCTTGCCCCAGGACTGCCTCCAGCAGAGGAGGCCTCCATGCTACAATTCATTTCCTGCTGTGCCGATGTTCTGAAATTTGATTCTTCCCCTGGATCCTTTCTCGAGGATCCTAACGTAGTCTCTGCCTCCATAACCTGTGGTTCAGATTGGTGCACGCTCTGATTCTGTAACCTGTAACAGAGACAAATAAGGAAAACTTGAAGAGAATTTGCTTTAATTTTTTCATTTTTTTAGTCTTTGAGATGCCATCTTAAAGGTTTAAGACCAATGCAATTCCAAGTTAATATCCAATACAGTCTCCTAAAGCAGCAGCAGGAAATTATCCTTTTTTATCAATATAGATTTAAGTGTTCCGATAAGTATTCTAATCTAACCTAAAACTGTAATAAAATAAAGAAAATTAAACAGGAGGTTTGTCTACATTGTTAAATCTCTCTGAAAGTCCATTTTACTAATTTTGGACTATTTGAAGGTCAGTGTAAAATGCTCAGCCTTATCTCTCATGTTCAATGTTCAAATATAAGACAGACTTGTCACTACCTGCACAGTAGCTGACTGCTGACCAAGGAGCCTGTTGCTCTAGTTGTTTAGTGGCCAATCTGCAGATCAGAACCAAATGAAAGACTGAAGGTTATGATCTCTCTTTTTTTTTTTTTCACCCAAGGGAGGTACTAAATTTTAGTCCATCTACACAGTCACCTTCCTCGAGAGTTGAGAGTCCGTGATACCCTGGTCCTGGTGCTTCCACTGCCCTCCAGCGTTCACATTCACGGCAGACATCCCCAGGCAACTCTGACAGTCTTTCCCACAAAGCCCAGTCATGTTTCAACATGTGTTCTGGGCAACTACTCTCCATCAATTTGATACAGAATTAAAACCTATTTACCTTCTATGAATGAAGGATCTGTTCAGTGATAAACATTTTAAATCTTGGGCATACTAGAAAATGAAATAATGCTAGAGGGACCATTTTCTAAAAGGGATTGTAGTTCCCCAAAAGTAGGTCCTTTAAAACAAAGCCCTTCCTAGCAACCTGGAAAAATGTCTTTTCATAACAAAGTGCCATATGAACCCTCTTCCATGTACTAACTCTGAAAAGAAATTATACTAAAAAGCAGAGGAGTAAATTATTCTAAAATTCGTGTGTAGTCATACAAAATAGAAAGAATCATATTACATTTAAATATATTTAAATATGTTAAGATGTTAATGGTATATATCTATGAGAAATAAGAGTACATGTGATTTCTGGTTTTTTATTAATTACTACTACTTTTCAAAATACTCTATAAAGAACATTAACTTTACAATAAAAAAAACCCAAATTATTGTAAAAATATTGGGTTATATTCATTCACAGTAGATTTGCAAATATCAACACAGCAAACCCATGTTCCTTGTTACTAATTTGAATTATAATCAAACAAAAAAGCAAATAGCTTTAGAAATTACTATTATCTAATATACTTTTAGCATCAAATTGAGGTCAGGGACACTTATAATTGTTAAAGTTCCATAACAATGTCCTAAAAGATGAGAATAAGTTAGGGCAAAATAGGTTAGTCCTATTATCTTAGTCTAATTCTTAGTTCAGAAATTAAACTCTCCCTTACATAAAATTTCTACAGTTTTACTACACCTTCCTGAAAGACAGTATCTTTGCACTCTGTTTTGAAGTGGATAGAATGGTCATGATTTGAGACAGACTATCACTAGTAAAGCATTTTCTGAAAGAAATGGGTGATAAAAAGATAAATACATTCATTATAATTATATGATCTCCTTAAGGAATAAAGAACTCTTTCCTAAAAGGGAAAAACCCATATGACAGTTGGGTGTTTCTCACTTGATAAGATTAGCCTTAGATTGTGTCTTGGAGATAATTCACTTTCACTTGCACAGCACCTGGTTTTGTTGCTTTGAAGATCAACATGGAACTTGCCTCTACATCATAAAGAAATACCAATAGAAAGAACATTTTAAGGCAGAATCCTATCTTTTAAGTTGTCATTTACTCTTTTCTTTTTCTCTCTTCCTTCTTTCCCTTCAGGAGGGTCATGTTGAATTTGGGAAGTCCAACCACCATTTTTCTAACACACAACGATTCTGAGCCTCCTTCCTATTCCCTCCTCTCCTGAATTCAGCTTATGTCAGTGTCTAGTAGCTTGGGTCAAAGTAAGGAGCTGCTCCAAAGGCAAAGCCAAGCCCAGGAGTGGCTTGAAAACGATCAGCTACATCAAACCATATAACCCAAAGGAATAACTTTGATCTCAGCCCCATGCTCTGGATCATAAAAAAAGCCAAAAGAAAGGGGGGTTGATTTTATACAAAGTGCAAGTTTACTGCAGTCTGGCACCTGGGTGTCAGCAGGATAAAGCCAGTTCCCACACTTCCCCAGGAAGGCTGTTCTGACCATCCCAGTGTAGTCTCTAATCCTCCTTCTGTAGGTCCCTACCTCCACATGTACTCCACTCACCAGCCCCCAGCTTTGAGGTCCACACTAATGACCAGGTACAGGTCAGTCAGTAAGCTGCTCAAATGGATCATGAAGGCACCCAAAAGGATAGACTTACTAGTCCTCACTCCTGTTTCTCAGATACAGTCTCAAGGCTTAGCTTTTTAGAAGCCCACGCATTTCAGGAGCATGCAAACATTAAAGTTCAGGCGAAAATTCTTTAGGTACATACCAAGTCCACGTTCTCACTAATGCAAGTGACACATTCCTTCCCATATGTCCTCTATTATTCACATTTTAACAAGTCATTAGAAAGGTAAGTTTTGAAATGTTGCTTCTGCCATTCTTGAGTTGTTACCTCACCAACCCAATGTAGGGCAGAGACAAGCCATCTCCACTGAACCTGCCTGAATTTATGACTCCCAAAAAAGTGAGCACTGAAATGATGTTTTTTCAAGCCACTGAGTTTGGGAGTGGTTGATTGTACAGCAATAGATAACTGAAAGAATCTCCTACAGGTAGCAGAGATAGATTCCACTTAATTTACACTTCCTTTGTTTCACTAACTGCCAAACAAGGATTTTCCATTAAATGCCTTTCTTGGTTTTCCTTCCTCACCTTTCAAGTCTTCTAAGCTCTTCACTCAAGAGGCTCTGCAGCTCCAGCTTTTCCAGAATGAGTTCACACTGCCTCTGGTACTGCTCCCGGGGGTTTTCAGGAAAGGAAGTGTGGAGAGCATTCACACCTCCTAGCAGTGCACCTCCCTGCAGGGGTGAGAAAATACCAAGGAGAGTCACCATGCTGGCCTGCATGGTGGCAGTACACACTGGGATGGCTAAGACTGGCCCTCACACCCCTACCTTGGGTATCAGAATCATCTGCGAGGCTTTTTCAAATTTTGATAGTTCTTGCCCCCAGTTCTTAGTGGCAATCATTGCTCTAGGAAGCCACACTGTCACTGGTGGAACCATGAACATCCTTCAAGTGTGCAGAGGAGAAAAAGGATTGAGACCCACTATGTTATACCAATGGGCAAACGCAATGCCACCAATGCAGTAAATGTCTCTATGACATATTTTCCTCTTATTTTAAATGGTTACCTTTGGATATATTTCCAGAAATTATTAGGTCTAGAATATGATCATTTTTGTAACTCTTGATATGTTAATAACATGTCTCTTTTTTAAAGAAAGCTTGTAAGCATTAGGTACACAAAATATCCTTACCTGCATCGAGGACTCCATTACTGACACCACTGTAATAGCATCTTCCAGAGTCACCGTGTCACGAAACATCAGACGGGCATGAGCTGAGAAAATAAAACACATCTGTTTCTTAGGAATATTTGAGGTGATAATAATAATTTTCCACCTGACCCCCCCAACTGTATTTCATGAATGAGCTACTAATAACAAATTAATTTTACTAGAACAAGCACAAAAGTTGATGTTTAACTAGCCTTAAGGTTGTTTCTATAATGGGCCTATCCTTCTACATAGCCCATGCAATTTTGTATATTTGTATGTAAAAATACTCTAGGCTCTAGCAAAGAAAGCTGTATAAACACATATTTAACATTCAGCAACTTTTAACATTCACTTTGTAATTTACTATAGAAATATATAAAATTAAAACTCATTTCACATCTCTGGCACTTTTCCTTATCTATGATCTATATGAGTTTTTCAAAGCTACCAACCTAGCAAGACTAAATTTTGAGTATTATTTACCCTAATATTAGCTATAAATCCTTGAAAAAATGAAGTCTATTTGTTTTACAATAATTTTTATTAAGCTTATATTATTTTACTATATGATACATTCAGTATACATGACATTTTTTTAAGAATTATTTAAACAAAGGTTAAAATGTAAAAGCCAATGTTGGAAAAAAAGTTTGAGATACATATTCACCATATGTGTACACGTACCCTTATACCTTAGGGATGGATAGAGCACGGCATTGTTAATTTGGTTGTTATGATGGGAGGGGTGGGTTGCAGCTGGTACTTACAGGGCAAGAACCAGAGATAAACAATTCCAAACAAGAAACTGTCCCACTCAAAAAGCTAACAGAGCTGGCATTGAGAAACAAAACATCAGAACAAAGGCTTTCTAAATGAATGACATTTTAAGTTATAGGAGGGTCCTGAGATGTCACAAAGATCCCTCTTTCTTAATGACACTACATTCCACTCAACACACACAATCTGTCCTCAGAAGAGCGGACAAGGTCTCATGGCTCACAGTCTTTACTTTTTAAGTGACTATGAGCACCTCAGAATAAGGGTTATTCTTATTCATCTTTGATTCCATTGTGCCAAGCTCCATGCCTTGCACACAGTAGACATTCAATGAAAGTATCATTTGTTGAATGAAATAAACCTTCTGCTAATCGTATCAAGCTCTCCAACAGGCGGATGGTGGTCCGGGCAGCGTTCCGGGAATCACTCTGCCTTTGCATCTGGTAGTACCGCAGAAGAACTTGGTTACCCACGTCAGACAGTGAGGGCTGTATATTCCTAATGAGGCAGAAGTAGGCTTTCATCTTTTCCATGCTCCAGAGCTTCTCTGATTTGCTTGGATAATCTGTGTATATGAGGTATTGGGTCAGTAATTTTGAAGAAAAGGCAAACCTCATTTTAAGAGTTTTTAATAAAGTTCTTATACTCATTGTTTAAACGATAATCTTCAGGTTTTGTGGCTATTGAAATCTAGATCTGTTCTCTGCATAGCATACAGTTCTAGAAAGCAAAGTCTTATGATCTAAGATGAATAAAGGTAATAAAGCTGCTTACAGGGGTTAAAATTATTCAGAATAATTCTGGTCTACCCTATGGTAATAAATAATACTTGAGTAAATCTAACTTAAGGAGACGTTCACATTTAGAGATTTCTGTTTCAAGTTTTCTTTGTGTACAAGAGGTAAGTGGTAATTCTCTACCATAAGGTTACCCTGTTTCATTGCAAGGGACATATCCAACAACCATATTCTCATCAATGGCTGGTAGAGAATGACCCTTTTCCTTCTACTCAGTATTCTGGGGCCTGCTGACTGGCTCTTCTCACCCACTGCTTTCTGTCTAAGCATCTCTCTATTGCCTGTTACGTAGCATACCCTGGGTATTTATCTAATTTTTTTTCAAATGGAATTATTTATTTTTTCAAAGCTAAAAACAAGATTTTTTTCTTCTTCTTAGAGTCCAGTTCACACAGGATAAAAACAAGATTTTTTACTATGAATCAGTGCTTCTATTACTCTTCTGAAAGAAGTTATGTATTAATGTGATGTAAAGGCAACATTGAAAAGTTCTTTAAATTAATCACCTAATTTATCCTTAAAATTACAAAGAATTTTACAGGTCTTTTACAGGTCAAGCGCAGTAAACTATAATGTTCTCTCAGCACGAAGCAGCACTAGAAAAAGTAACTGTTATAGATTGGAGTTGACTAGTTCTGTCATATCGAAAGGGAATTTCCTTTAATTACATCGAATTTCTCTTTGTCACTCTGAATGATTTGTCTCCACATACCTTTATTTTCTAAGATAAAGGAGGAAATTATACGGTCCCAGTCTTCATTCTTGGTATCAAGTAAAACCAGGATCAGGTCGAATCGACTTAAGAGTGGGCTGCCGAGGGCAATGTTCACAGACACAGACTCTTGGGGGTCGTACTGGCCTTTAGGGTTAGTCGCTGCCAGGATGGTGGTCCTTGTGTTCAGCTTGCACACAAGGCTACCGAAAGAGAGGGTACAATTCACTGACTCTGAGATTCAAGTAAAAAGCAAGATTAAACTTGTTAATAAATGGGGCTGATCTTGAGCCTTGAAAATCTAGAAACTCCTGTGAAAGAAATGTGGAATGACACAAGAGGATATCACAAACACTATGTTCAAAGTGCTTTGAAACCAGTCTATCTTGAAGAGAAGTAACTGTTCAATAAACACTTTTTATGCTGATAGTATGAGCAGACCCCTCTGCTAAGTGCTAAGAGGTAAACAAAATTAAACCAAGCATGAATGCTGTTCTTAAGTGGCTTGCAATCCACTAGCTATAATGTAATATGAGGCAGCATGTGGTAAATTCTATAAGAATAGAGTTCCCAGGGGAAATAAAGATGATGTGTATTCGTCTGTGTGGATGGAAAAGTGATCAGAGAAACATCATGAAGCAGCTTTTGATCTGTGCCCTGCAAGGCACCTGGACATTTTTAAGTGGAGAGAGACATACATTTGTGGAGGGGTGAGGATAGGGGGTGAGGATGACCTTAGAGAATGGTGAGTGGTTAAAGCAAAAATTTTCTTTGTATTCAATTATTTTGTTTTGATTTTTCTAAACATGGAAGAAATGAAAGAGAGAGAGAGAGAGAGAGAGAGAGAGAGAGAGAGGAAGGAAAAGGAAATATAAGGATTGGTTTAGCATGCAGTTTCTGGGGACAGCTGTGGAGAGAAGTCTGAAGAGCCTGAGCTTGACGCAGGGTTGGACAGAGAGGGACTGGGGATGCCAGACAGGGCAGGATGCCCGTGCAGGGGTGCAACAGGGAAGAGCCAAAGTCCTAAATGGAGCAGTGGCAGAATAGGGATGGATGTGATATAACTTAGATGAAGTTTTAAACTCATTAATGAGGAACAAGTCTTCAGAATACTATGGCATATTCATTAACAATAAAAAACTCAAAATTTTTCTCTGTAAGTTCGTGTGCCCTGTACTTGCTGCCCATTTTTAGTTATAGTGGGATGTCTGCTTCTCAGAAGTCACACCCCTGTGACATCAGCAAATATGTGCTACATTTGTTAATCCTGGATCTATTTCCAGTGGGCTGTGATGGTTACTTCATTCCCTGAGGCTGAAAAAGCTTGAGAATCTTTATTTGTGGCAAATGGCATATGACGACATTCACCAAACAAGAGAAAGACAAACAAGGCATTTTTACCAGAAACTAAGTCCCCTTTTAAAATATTAGTGAAAGAGAAAAATTCTGAACAAACAGTCCACATCTTATCATTTATGTGCCAAAATGGCTTTTCTAAAGGCAGTTGTTTGGAACTTGGAATCTAGTTTGACATAAAAACAAGGTAATAAATTGTTCCTAACTAATCCCACAAAAGCACATTTAACCCGAACCAAAGTGAGACTATTTGCATTTATCATTTAAAAAAACTTCTGCAATACTGGCACTGAAACAATATAATTGCATATGAAATTATTTTTTTGAAATTATTTTCAATGCTAGGTAAAATTAATCGTTTGTTCTTCCTCTCTGATCAACAGATAGTTATAGGCCATTTCCTGTGTGCACAGAACTGTACTGAGAATTCAAAAAGGTATACAACTGGTCCCTGCTGCCAGTTAGTTTGCAATAGAACCTCTGGAGGATGAGGAGGCTCAACACAGCACCTGCCAGACAGCAGTTGTGCAAGGAATGCTGGGTCAGTGTTGGCAGAGAGCAACTGCCGTGGAGATACCCGGATATCTACAAAGGAAATAATCTGAAAGTTTTCCATGATATGAGAAGGAAAATAAACAAAGACAGAAGGAAGGCAGTAAATTATTCCTGAGGTAACTGGGGGGAAAAATGGAAAGAATAAGTGTAAGAAAGGAGACTGAGGAAGTTTCATATGTGAAGAAAAAAGGCTGCCTGAGATGAAGTCAGCAGAAATGGAAGTGATGAAAACAGGGGTGTGGGCAGGGGAAGAGGAGATTATATGGGATAATAAGTGGGGCAGATCCCTGTAGCAAAGGAGGAGGACGTTAGCAGGGCCCAGAGGGACAGGGTGGGCTCTGGGCATTTGAAGCAGGAGAAAGCAGTACATAAGCCTGGTAGCTGCAGATAAACATTTCTGCTAAAACTGAACAGGCTTTAGAAAACAAACACAGATACACACACACACACACACACACACACACACACACACAGTCTCATCCTAAATACTTATGCATAGTAGTGGTTCACTAAATAACTACTGAATGAATTCATGAGTTAGCAGCAGTACCCAACCTTTTTGTCCCCAGAGACCGGTTTCATGGAAGACAATTTTTCCAGGGACAGGGAATGGAGGGTCAGGGGAGCTTAGGCAGTGATGCTGGGGAGCGATGGGGAGCAGCTGTAAATACAGATTAAGTTTCACTTGCTCGCCCTCTCCTCACTTCCCGCTGTGCGGCCCAGTTTCTAACAGGCCACGGACTGGTACCTGTACTGGTCTTTGGCCCAGGGGTTGGGGACTGCAGAGTTGGTGTAAGATAACTCATTTTTTTCCATCCAATATGGACTGTACCTTCTTCAATAATATTAATGAAAATAACTACAAAGTAATACCAACTACTGTGTTAGGCTTACACAGATTACCCTGAACCACTGCAATCTGAAAAGTAGGTATTATTATCACAAACTTAGAAATAAGGAAATGCTAAGCTCAGAGATATTAACTTCCCCAAGGTTACACTGAGCAGCAGAGCTGAGATTCCAGCCTAGATCTGCTAGGCTCAAAAATCAATGCTCTTTCACTTCCAGACTGCCTCCCCTGTGGGTTCTAACATTTCAGGTGTATAACTCCTGTGATCTTAGAGAGTTTGCCTGGTGTTTTAGGTATCTATTTACTTGCCTTATTTTTTTTCCAACTAAATTTGATATTCCTTGAGGGACTGTGACTTATTGTTATAATTCTCACACTGCTTGGCACATATTAAATGCTCAATAAATGTGCATTTATTAAATGACAAATAAAAAAACCAAATCTTTACTTAGTTCAGTATTTCTAAAATTTGGGCTTATTTTATGCTCACAGGCTTCAACAGTCACAATAAAATGATGCCGATACATGTTTTTTCTGCCTAACTTCAAGGAGAGGAACCACTCCAGTTTCTGAAAAAGCTACTTTTCCATTTGTTTAATCCACACATTTAAACTTTCCTGCAGACACAGTAGTAACTGTTTTAAATGTTGTAAAGTTAGGCTACATAAGTTATTTTTACCAGTACAGACCCTCTAGAAAGTGCCCTTGTTTTCATGAAGGTCTCCTATTACTCCTATTACACCCTTTATGGGGTGATCCCCATTTTTACTCATAGCTTTAATCCCTGCCTATATGCTGGTACTTCCAAATTTAACTCCAGCCTATGGCAGTGGCTACTATATGTTTAGAAAACTTGTTTTCTTTTCCCCCTGGGGAACAGAGCAAGATTATATTTCCCATCCCCCATTATAGTTAAGTAGGGCTATAATAACAAGTCTGGACAATGGAATGGGAGTAGAAGAACATGTACTACTCTTAGGTCTGGCCCCTAAAAGCCTTCTGGTGCAATCTTTTTGTCTCTCTATTTCTCAGAGGAGTACAGAAGAGGCCAAGGCCCTGGAGGCAGAGAGCCACATGAGGGGAGGAGCCCAGCCCTGAATGACTGTGTGGAGCACAGTGCCCCACCCTCAGTCCACATCAGACTGTGACATGAGGGAGAAAAACCTTCCTCTGGCAAAGTATTACAGGAAAGAGATAAGCATAGAAAAGAACTACCCAGTTTTAAGGAGGAATGAAAGGCAATAAAAGACAGCTCGGAAATTTGAGGTTTTGAAGGATTAGCTGAAAAAATTGCTTCTAGACCCCAGAGAGGCAAAATTGGAAAAGGCTTTGAACAAAGGCCCAGTAAATTTTCTTAGTTGTATAAAGTGACTTAGATTGAGGGTAAAGTCTTCTGCTTTAGATGCCCTTAAGGTAGCCACTGTTAAGTAACAAAGGCCATACCCTGTCCCTAGCAGAAGCCGAGAGGTGGAAGCAACCCAAGTATTTAAGGATGAAGAAATGGATAAGGAAAATGTGGTCTATAAATACAACAGAAAGTCTTTCAGCTTTATAAAGAAAGGAAGGCCCGGTGCAGTGGCTCATGCCTGTAATCCTAGCATTCTGGGAGGCCGAGGCAGGAGGATCACTTGAGTTCAGAAGTTTGAGACCAGCCTGAGCAGGTGTGGTGGTGCATGCCTGTAGTCCCAGCTACTCGGGAGGCTGAGGCAGGAGGATCGCTTGAGCCCAGGAGTTTGAAGTTACTGTGAGCTATGCTGACACCACAGCACTCTAGCCCAGGCAATGGAGTGAGACTATGTGTCAAAAAAAAAAAAAAAAAAAAAGCAGGGAAGGAAGGAAGGGAAGGAAGGAAGGAAGGGAAGGAAGGGAGGAAATTCTAACACATGCTACAATATGGATAAACCTTGAGGATGTGATGCTAAGTGAAATAAGCCAGTTACAAAAAGACAAACACTGTATGATTCCACTTAAGTAGTTAAATTCATAGAAACAGAAAGTAGAATGGTGGTTGCCAGGGGTTGGGAGGAGGAGGAAATGGGGAGTTGTTTAATGGGTATAGAGTTTCAGTTTATATAGTTATGGAGATTTGCTGCAAACAATGTGATAATACTTAACAGTACGAAACTGTACACCGCAAATAAGATAGTAAATTTTATGTTATGTCTTTTTTACCCGACCTCCACCCCCTTCCACACACACACAGAAGGGAGACTATTATGGACTGAATGTTTGTGTTTCCCCAGATTCACATGTTAAAGCCCTAACACCCAAGGTGATGGTATTGAGAGGTGGGGACTTTGGGAGGTAATTAAGTTTAGATGAGGTTATGAGGGTGAAGCTCTCAGTCTCCCATACATCCATGAGCAAGCAATAACCTTTTATTGTGTTAAACCCCATAACCTTTTATTGTGTTAAACCCCTGTTTGCTAACGCAGTTACGCCTCCTACCCTGACTAATATAGAGCAAAATCTCTCTAGCAAGCTCCAGATCCTTTGGCTATGGAACACCTATCCCAACAATGTTTGACTGGTCTCCTTACCAAAGGAATTGGGCCAGAAAACAGCAAGCCAGGCAACACTCAAATATTAGTTTCTAGATCATCTGACATTTCTATATTAACAAGGCCTCAGTTTTTTTTAAAAGTCTAGCACCAAAAAAGGGAGCAAAAAACCCCAACAAAACTATGCAAAATAAAAACACATTAATGGTATTCTCACAGTCCATTATATATTTTTTTGTAATCTGAAATGCTAGGTACACATATCCTTTCCTCCCATACTTTTTAACTAGCCTGATAAAGTTGGCAAATTACCATTCACATCTACATTGACTCAATGAATGGAAATGAGATTTACCCACGATGGGAATAGGAAAGAGGAGATGGGTAAAAGTACTGATCATAAATATTATCTAGAAAGAACAGAGAACTTTCAAAGTGCATGGTTTGTACTATCTTCACATCTTGGTGGCATGCATACATACTGCAAAGGAACATTTCCCAATTTGTCCGACAGCACGTTCAGCCCCTGCTCAGTGGGGTTGAGTGGAAGGACACATTCCCTCCTCTCTCTGCCTCCTTTCTCCTCATCCTCCCCCAACCTGAAGCTACTCTGTGAAGGATGCCACAGCGTCATAAGATCCTGGAAGGAGGAGGCAAACAGAGTGCCTGGGCACTGAGCAATCTTACCCTGCAGCAGTGGATTCTAAGCCAGGCTGGGTGCCTAGGTACTGAGCAATCTTACCCTGTAGCAGTGGGTCCTAAGCTGGGCTGGGTGCCTGGGTACTGAGCAGTCTTACCCTGTAGCAGTGGTCCTAAGCTGGGCTGGGTGCCTGGGCACTGAGCAATCTTACCCTGCAGCAGTGGGTCCTAAGCTGGGCTGGATGCCTGGGTACTGAGCAATCTTACCCTGCAGCAGTGGGTACTAGGCTGGGCTGGGTGCCTGGGTACTGAGCAATCTTACCCTGCAGCAGTGGGTCCTAGGCTGGGCTGGGTGCCTGGGTATTGAGCAGTCTTACCCTGTAGCAGTGGGTCCTAGGCTGGGCTGGGTGCCTGGGTACTGAGCAATCTTACCCTGCAACAGTGGATGCTAGGCTGGGCTGCTCAGTGGGACCCAAGGTAGGTTTTCACGATACAGATTCCCAGGGCCCACTTCAGAGATTCTGATTCACTAGAACTGTATGGGCCAGAAAACTAATGATCAGTCAAGTGGGGATTTGTGCCCTGGCTCATCTAGGGCTGTTAGAATCATAGTATATAATAAATGTTTACTTGTCTATCTTGTTCCAAGGCTGTGAGCATCTTGAGAACAAAGGCCTTGTCTTTTCATCTCTGTGGTGCCAATAGCCAGCAGAAAGCCTGACATTGCTTAGTGCCCAAGATATGTTTATCGAGTGAATCAATAAATTGGTATCTTGCCATTTTCAATTTTCAGATTGTACTTCCTATCTAGGCATGTGAGTATAATTTAATAGCACCACACATCTCATTGTCCTAAATGTGTCTTCAGCAAACGGTGAGGATTTCCTCCATTATTTAAAAAACGAGTGATACCCTGCCCTTGATGAGATGCTATCCTAGTTATGTTTAGAAAGCACCTTAAAAATAATGAAACATTATCTTTCCCAAATCTGTATTTGATTTAGCATCCTACAACCTTAAAGATCAGCATCACATAAAGTTCTTTCAAATGACTACACACTGTGTAGCACTGTGCTGCCATTCAGCTGTCACAAGTACTGATGTGCACAATTTAAAAACAGGTACATTCTACTACTGACACCTTTTTTTTTTTTTTTTTTGGAAACAGGGCCTTACTCTGTCACCTGGGCTAGAGTGCAGTGGCATCATCATAGATCACTGCAACCTCAAACTCCTGGGTTCAAGTGATCCTCCTGCCTCAGTCTCCCCCATAGCTGAGACGATAGGCGTGTACTACCACACCCGGCTAATTTTTCTATTTATTGTAGAGATGGGGTTTTGCTCCTGCTCAGGTTGGTATCAAACTCCTGATGATCTAAGCCCTAAGTGCTAGATTATAGGTGTGAACCACCATGCCTGACCTCATAACACGTATTATGGACTTATCACTCTGCTGCTATTTTTGTCTATCTTTTCCCCAAAAAATAGTGACCACTTCAAAGACAATATTTTATTCATTTTTGTATTATTTAATGTCTAGTATAGTACCTAGCAAACAGGTTTTTAATGAATATATTATATTTTGAATAAACAAACAAATAGATGTGATAATGGTTCTGTCTACTTCTTTCTTGTGTCGTTTTCCTATGTGCTATATCCTGTTCTCCCTCTCTCCCCACCTCACCCCCCACTACTGTTTTGCTAGTGTATATAAATAGATCTCAGAGAATCTACATATACCATTATCTCCTTGGCTCCCAAGTACCCATTACTATTTGAAGATGCTGTTGGCAGCCCTACCTGCTTGATCAGTTGGCTTCACATCCATAATAGCAGCATCAAGACTGAGATAGTTCAGGCCCTATTGTTGTTTGAGTGACCTGGCAGCCTGTTTGGTGGCCAGCCTTTGTAGCCATGTAAGTTTCCTGTAAATAACTCAGTGGATTTCTGTCTGAATGTAGCTTAGTGTTCCTCCCCATGGGTCATCTGTAACCAGGGACTCACATACCTCAATCCTGAATCTCCTTGAGTCATGACAGGCACTTCATCTTACGCCAATACATATTATTTACTTTTCTATGTGCTATGATCAACTTTCCATCGGGGCTGGGTGCAGTGGCTCATGCCTGTAATCCTAGCACTCTGAGAGGTTGATGCAGGAGGATTGTTTGAGCTCAGGAATTCGAGACCAGCCTAAGCAAGAGCAAGACTCGGTCTCTACTAAAAATAGAAAACTTAGCTGGGCATCATAGTATACGCCTATAGTCCCAGCTACTTTGAAGGCTGAGGCAAGAGTATCACTTGAGCCCAGGAGTTGAAGGTTGCAGTGAGCTACAATGATGCCACTACACTCTGGCTGGGAGCACAGAGCAAGACTCTGTCTATAAACAAAACAAAACAAAACAAAACACACACACAAAAACCCCTTTCCATTAGGAAGTATAAGGATGCTAGAAATTATGGCTTTTTTTCTTTTAAACTGTTCTAAATTGCTAACACATATGCTCAGAATATACACACAATATTTATTGAATGGAAGAGAGAATAGGTTGAATCCTACAATGAAAGCTCCTTAAATCCCCTCCATTAGTTAAGTCAACCTACATTTATATTTTACTTTTCCCTTCCTTTTTCCTAGTAACTCATTTTTATTTCCTTACATACCTGTATGATCTAATAAGGAAAAACTTTGATGTATGTCTTAAAGGGTGACAATTGATAAACCTTGAGAGGACCAAACATACCTTGCTGTTCAACAAGGTTCACACTTTCCCCTAATCTAATATTAAACAATCTCACCATTTCCATAGATTTTAAAGGAAAGAAGCTCTTACCCAGCTTTGGCAACACTTATGGTTTGTTGCTCCATTGCTTCATGGATACTGGTTCTATCATGCTCTTTGAGGCTGTTAAACTCATCAATACAGCAAAGGCCTGCATCTGCAAGCACCAGTGCACCAGCCTCCAAATTCCACTCTCCTGAGTCTTTTACAGCAGTTACCGTCAGACCTGAGGAAACAAGAAAGCTATGTCGGCATTTATTTCCAAAAGCGTATCTTACACCTATCAGGGGAAAGAGATGTTTCTATTTTAAAGAGAAGGGCATAGAATCAAGGCTTTTATTTACTATCTACCAAAAGTGGATGACGATCAGGATCATCACTTCATATATCCAGGCACTAGAAGGCCTTAAAGCTCCTATGTTCTGAAAATCTAAGATGCATTATTCAGTATTTTATAGCAACCAGAAGTCTCTGAATTTTCTGTCTCTCCTTGTAGGTTCCCTGACTGAGTGCTCTAACCTTTTGGAAGGAACAAACAGATCTCCAGAGACCTTATGACAAAAGGTTCTGTACTATATGCTGTTTACAGAGAAGGCCCCCATGATGGAGAACAGCCATTATCACAGTCTAGTGATGGGAACGAAAAGTTTGCTTCCAATTACACAATGAAGGAGGAGATTTTCTTCACATATCAATTTTAATTTGTCCCTTATACCAGTCAATAAAGCAGAGCGGTCAAAAGCAAAGGCTTTGGAGTCAACACGACTTGATTTGAATGCTGGAACTCTCATTCTGGTTGTTCAATTGTAGTCAAGTTTCCTAATATACATATAGACCTCAGTTTATAAACCTGTTAAAGGGGTTAATAGAAAATATAGATTCTTGGATATACAAATAAAATATAACTAAAGCTCATGAAAAGGTATATGACACATAATGAGTACTTATAATAACTATTGTTGATAAAAATTGATAAACCTCTGCCAGATGGACCAAGAAAAAAAGAAGAGACACAAGTTACAAATACCAGGTATGAAAGAGGGGACATAACTACAGATCCTACAATGAACCAATAATAAGGAAATACTATGAACAACTCTATGCAAGGTTTTCTTTTATCATTGTTACTCAAAACTCATATAGTTCCATGAAATAAGGCAAAGAAAAGAAATAAACAATATACATATTGAAAAAGGCGAATTTAAAACTGTTTAAATTTGCAGATACCATGATTATGTAAAATATTCAAAATAATCTACTAAAAAGCTACTAGAACTAATAAGTGGAGCAAGGCTGCAGGATGCAAATCAATATATGAAAATCAATCTTGGCCGGGCGTGGTGGCTCACGCCTGTAATCCTAGCATTCTGGCAAGCTGAGGCGGGTGTATGGTTTGAGCTCAGGAGTTCGAGACCAGCTTTAGCAAGAGCAAGACCCTGTCTCTACTAAAAATAGAAAGATATTAATTGATCAACTAAAAATATATAGAAAAAATTAGCTGGGCATGGTGGGACATGCCTGTAGTCCCAGGTATTCATGAGGCTGAGGCAAGAAGGATTGCTTGAGCCCAGGAATTTGAGGTTGCTGTGAGCTAGGCTGATGCCACGGCACTCTAGCCCAGGCAATAGAGTGAGACTCTGTCTCAAAAAATAAATAAATAAAAATAAATTAATAAATAAAATCAATCTTATTCCTATATATTAAAATGAATAATTAGAAACTGCAATTTTAAATGATACAATTTATAATAGTATCCCAAAACATGCAATATTTGGGTACAAGTCTTATGAAATATATGCAAGATCTGTACACAAAAAACTACAAAACACTGACAAAGGAAATCAAGACAAGTTAATTAAATTGAGAGATATTCCATGTTCATGAAATAAACTAAAAAACTCAAAATTTTCAATATGTCAATTCTCCCCAAACTGTTCTATACTTTCTAGACAGCCCTCATATGTCATTACACATTATTCAAAAACCATAGAATGTACAACACCAAAAACCGAATCCAGCAATACATAAAAAAGATTATATTAATACACTATGACTAAGTGGGATTTACTTTAGGAATGCAATGTTGGTTTAATATCTGAAAATCCACATCCATTATTCATAGTAAAAATGCTGGAAACAAAAGACAAAGAAAAGATTTTAAAAGCAGTTAGATAAAAACAACTGTATACTTATAATGGAGCCCCAATAAGATTAAGACCTGATTTTCATTAGAAACAGTGTGAGACATATTCAAAGTGCTGAAAAGAAAAACGAAACTCTTCCAAGAATCTTATATCTAGCAAAACTATCTTTCAAAAATGAGGGCAAAATAAAGACATTCCCAGATAAACAAAACTGGGAGCATTACAGCTAGCAGGCCTGCCTTAAAAGAATTACCAAAGGGAGTTCTTTATGCTGAAAACAAATCACCCCAGATGGTAAGTTAAATCCACAAGAAAGAAGAATGAGCACTGGCAAATGTAATTATGCTATTAGGAAAAAAAAAGTTTAAAGGCATATTTATTCTCTAAACCGATTTTAAAAGCAATTGTATAAAATAATATGTATATAATGGTATCATTGGGCCTATAACATATACAAATGTATTTAGCAAAAACAGCAAAACAAAACAAAACAAAAAACATAAGTGGGAGGAAAATTATATTGGATTAAGGAAATGACTCCAGATGGTAACTCAAATCCACAGAACAAATGAAGAAAACCAGAAACAGTAATTCAGAAAGTCAATATAACAAACTCTCTCTATATATCTTTGTTCTTCTTTCCTTTCTCAGCTTCTTTAAAAAAGCATAAAATTACGTAAGGCAATAAATAATGTATTTTTGTGTTTGTAACATATATGGAATATGTATATGTATTATAGCATAAAAAGGGGAAAATGGTATAGAACTACACAGAGGTAACATTTCTGTATGTCACTGGAATAAAATAAGTATACATCTGAAATAGATTCTGATAAGTAAGCCCTATAACAAGCACTAAGAAAATAACCCTCCCTCCAAAAAAAAAAGGGAAAAATCATTACAGAAATAAAAAAATGCTACATTAGAAAATATTCATTTAATGCAAAAGTAAGCAGTAAAGAAGAAATTAAACAAAAGACTTGAGATATATAAAAATCAAAAAGTAAAATGGCAGACATGAATCCCACAATACCAATAACATTAAATGTGAATGGATTAAACAATCTAATCAAAAGGCATAGACTGACAAAATGAATTACAAAAATAAGATCCAACTCCAGGCTACCTATTTACAAGAGACACTTTAGATTCAAAGAAACAAATGGATTGAAAATAAAAAGTTGGAAAAGATATATACATAAACAACAAGAAAGCTGAGTATTTATACCAATATCAGACAAAACAAATTTTATAATGAAAAAATATTACTAGAGGTAAAGACAGGCATTTTACAACGATAAAATAATCAATCCATCAAGAACCCTGACAGAAGGAGGCCAAAAAAGTCAATGGTATGTCTATATGCTTGGCAAAGAAGAATCTGAACATATAATTTAGAAAATATTTCCATTTACAATAGCATCAAAAAGAATAAAATATGTAGGAATACATTTAAGAAAGTACAAAACCTATACTCTAAAAACTACAAAACACTGTAGAAAGAAATTAAAAATGACCTAAATAAATGCAAAGAAATCCCATGTTCACAGATTAGAAAACAATATTGTTAATATGGCAATACTCCACAAACAGACGTACAGATTCAGTGCAATCCCTATCAAAAGCCCAGGTAGCTTGTTTGCAGAATTGTCAAGGTGATCCTAAAATTCATAAAAAATACACAAGATGCCAAATAGCCAATCTTGAAAAAGAGGAACAAAGTTGGAAGACTCACATTTTCTTATTTTAAAACATAAGGCAAAATTAAAGTTAGCAAGACAATGTGGTACCAGTACAAGGACACAAATAAACATAACAGAATCGACTGTCCTGAAATAAACCCATATATATTTAAGGTCAATTCATTTTTGATAAGGGTTCCAATCCAACTCATGGGGGAAAGAATAGTCTTTTCAACAGATACTGCTGGGAAACTGGACATCCTCATGTAAAAATATAAATTTTGATCTCCTACTTTATACCATACACAAAAATTAATTCAAACTGGATCAAAAACCTAATGTAAGGTGCTACAAGTATAAAACTCTTAAAAGAAAACATAGCCATAAATATTCATGACTTTGGATTAGGCAATGGTTTTTGTGAATGACATGAAAAGCACAAGCAAAAAAAAGACAAAATAGGCCAGGCACAGCGGCTCACGCCTATAATCCTAGCACTCTGGGAGGCTGAGGCAGGCGGATAGCTCGAAGTCAGGAGTTCGAAACCAGCCTGAGCAAGAGCGAGACCCTGTCTCTACTATAAATAGAAAGAAATTAATTGGCCAACTAATATATATATAGAAAAAATTAGCTGGGCATGGTGGTGCATGCCTGTAGTCCCAGCTACTCGGGAGGCTGAGGCAGAAGGATTGCTTGAGCCCAGGAGTTTGAAGTTGCTGTGAGCTAGGCTGATGCCATGGCACTCACTCTACTCACTCTAGCCTGGGCAACAAAGTGAGACTCTGTCTCAAAAAAAAAAAAAAAGACAAGACAAAATAGATAAAATGGGCTTCATCAAAATTAAAAGCTTTTATGCTGCAAATGATACCACCAAGAAAATTAAAAGATAACCCACAGAAAAGAAGAAAATTTTAGCAAACCATGAATTTGATATGAGACTTGTATTTAGAATATATATAGCTCTTATAACTCAATTACGAAAGAACAAATGACCCAATTTTTAAAAGGAGACAGAGTCAGCATGGTAGTACAGGCCTGTAGTCTCACTACTTGGGAGGCAGAGGTGGGAGGATCACTTAAGCCCAAGAGTTAAAGTCCAGCCAGGGCAACATAGTGAGACTCCATCTCTACTGAAAAAAAAGGGAAGGGGCAAAACAATCTGAATAGACAATTCCCCACAGAAGACATACAAATGGCCAATAAGCAAATCAAGGATGTTCAACATCTTTAGCCATTAGGGAAATGCGAATCAAAACCATAATGAGATACTACTTCACACACCACCAAGGCCATAATCAAAAAGACATAATAACAAGTGTTAGTGGAGATGTGGAGAAATTGGAATGCTGGTGGGAATGTAAAATGGTGCAGCCATTTTTAAAAAGTTTGGTAGCTCCTCAAAAGGAGTTACCACACGTGACTCAGCAATGCCACTGCTAAGCACACACCCAGAGAAATGAAAACATTTATCCTACACAAAAATCTGTACACAAATGTTCACGGCAGCATTATTCACAATAGCCAAAACATGGAAACAACACAAATGTCCATCAACTGATTGAATGGATAAATAAAATGTGGTATACTCATGTAATGGAATATTGGGTAATAAAAAGAAAAGAAGTATCAATATATGTCACAGCATGGATGAAAACATCAAAAATATTATGCTTGAAAGATGTTAGTCACAAAAGACTATATATTATATGATGACATTTATATGGATGTCTAGAATAGGCAAATCTATACAGACAGAAAGTAATTTAGTGGTTGCCTATTGCTAGGGGATGAGAGCACAGGGGTGAGGAGGGGGATGCTAAAGGCCACAAAGAATCTTTTTGGGATGATGAAAATATTCTAAAACTGATTGTGGTCAAGGCTGCACAACTCTGAATATTCTAAAAGCTATTGGCTCAGACA